TAAAAAAACAAGCAACCCACATTTTGCAGTACAAAGTACAGTTACAAGTATTTTTCTAGGTGGCTTTTTTATCAGTATAGTGCATTCATACTATGATAAGATTGGTACATTTAGGTACAAGGGTGCAGGTACAAGGGTGCCTATTAGTATAATGCAATAACATTGGAATAAACGTGAACGGTTGTATATCGTAGAATAATAGATATTTAAATTATTAAAAGACGACGCGGTAATAAACGAACATCACTGTAATTTAAAAACAGACCAAGATTTTTTTAATTGATGAATTTGAAAAAAATCATAGATCTTTTTGTTAACCATATTCTATTTCAAGCATTTTTAAATGAAATTGTTTAATGTATTAGTATGAGTTCCAGTTTGTTCAGCTTGAATCGATATCATAAAAAACTAACAGCAGTTTTATCATTCACATCCTAGCGTCCTTCGAAATTTGATCATTTTTCAAAAAAGAAAAAAATCGTATCAAAAATGTGACAAACAACATACTTCGTGACAACTCGCAACAAATGAAGAAGAACAGAAGAATGACATCAGAATATTGATTGCAGTAACTCAAAATGACATATTTTGAAGAGGTTCTTAAAATTTTCAATAGACTTTCTTTACTGCAAAGTTGCCAAACGGCACAAAAAGATAACAACTATTAAACAAATGAACAGACGACGAAGATAACAAAGTAATTAATATGAGTATTAGCCAAAAACACAAGTTCTACTTATTGGGAAATTGTACCACGTAGGTAATATCAGTAGAGCATCACAGCGGCCGTTTCAACAGTGCCCCGAGCGCCTTATTACTATAGTAACTGCGACCACAGATGTCGCAACTTTGTACTTACGCGATGCGATGAATAATAACAGTCTGTGATAATAATTACAGATGGAATTGTGGAATTAACTTGATGAGTCAACCAGATTTTGTCTTAAACATCAAAGAGGTATCAAAATATGTACAGCAATGATAAAAAACACCCAAATAAGTTGCTGAAAAATTAAACAACGCTACCATATAGTTTACTAGTGTGAAATAAAACAATTGTAAATATTATTCTGAAAATTCATTTCTGAATTTTTTACCAACTACACACTACCTCAAATTAATGAGGGAAAAGTTGTTGCTGTTGTCACACCCCCGCCAGGAATCGAACCCGGGAGTTTTGGCTTTACGCACCAATGTTCTGACCACTAAAGTTCGACGGATCGTTAACCTTGTAGATCAGTTGGTGCGTAAAGCCAAAGGTCCCGGGTTCGATTCCCGGCGGGGGTGTGAAGACAGCAACAATTTTTCCCTCATTAATTTGAGGTAGTTTGTAATGGGTTGAAAATTCAGAAATGAATTTTCAAATATTTCATATTAAGCTAACTCACTTCTAAAAAGATGTCTAAATTGTATGTATGTTTAAAACAATTGTAAGTTAAAAAACTAAAAAAAAAGGAAAATTTACAGTCAGATACATTTCTTTGTTATAACATTCTGATGCTCTAGTTTGTAACATTATACGTGTCTAGTTCGAAATGGGTCAATTTTAGGTGGTATTACAAATACGTATTAGTCAGAGTGACCTCTTCACAAGCCACTGCAAACATTCCCTTAAACAGCATTTACATAGAAAATAAATATCGCCGGGAATCAACGCTGGAGCGCGTGTATTACGGGTGATGCATTTATAAAGTGCCCGCGCTTTACCGTCCGTCTGTTTGTTCTGTTGCGCTCGGATATTTAAACAACTGAAACCAATTTATTCTCATCAGCAGTTCGATAGAGCTTTGTTGGACGCGTTTTATACGATACGATACGATACGATACGATATGACATCAAGTGATGCAACTATTGGTACATACGTTAACAATTTACCTATAAATGTAGGATAATAATTGCATATGTATTTTGCGATGCATATGCTTGTATAATAGTTTTTAGATTAGCGGAATGGGGTTAAGAAGTGGAAATAAAGCCATGAATTTATTTTTCCTTTACAATATATTCACCTGCTAACCTTCTGAAATAAATGTGTTGTCTCTGTCTGAAAAATACGCCGTAACTACATCGTTTAGGATTGGGTGATATAGATCACAACTCATACTAAAGTGCTCGAAAGCAAGAGCGACAAGCCTCGAAGCAGTAAAATATTCGTGAATGACACATATGTACATGGCCGCGTAACAAAAGGATTTCGAGAGCCTTCCAGAAAAATGAAGATTTATTCTTAAGAGTTCGATGATAATATTATTAGGCCTCTTGGTGATAGTCGGAGTTGCTGTATGAACAGGTAGCTAGTAATATAATATCATGATGAATATAGTTGATAGAAATAGGTACTATATTGGATAAATAAACATTTATAAACACACTATAACATAGCGAAGTAGTAATTTAAGTATTTTGCGAAGGTTATTGTCTAAAATAAATTACTGTATATACACCCTCGTTTAAATAAATAAATTAAGATACTAGAAAATTCGTTACACTACGTTTATATTTGCAGTAAACAAGAAGAGTGCATTCGTTCATGCTGAATTAGAAAGCTTCAATTATTCACAGTTAGAACAGCAAAATTCCTTTTTTATGTTTTATTTAAGATTAATGATACTTTTAGGGCGTTTTAAGTTAACTGAGGCCTTTCCTTTTAGACGGCTCTTTGAAATTCGGGTTTCAGTGCTCCCACCTATCTACGTTTCGAGCATTATTCACGTACCTCGTCCTAATTTTTTCCGTAAAGGTCCAAGGCCGCCGTACATTTTGCCTTCTTTTTTTATGTTTTTGTTTCGTCTGAATGCGAAGCGGGATCTACCTTGGCCTGGCTGGCCCTTTGTCTCTTTTGAATGAATGCATGCATCCCTTTCCAGGTCTTCTCGCATTTACGGCCCTAAGGCAAGTAGCCGTTTGCGGAAACAAAAATAAATGAATAAAATAAGTTCCGATCTGAAGCATTTACAGGTTTCACAGAGGTACTGCTTCAGATTCATTTTTTACATCTACCAATTTGATTATATATATATATTAAAATGCATGGGTTGAAATGGAACGATTATTTTCAACAGATAACTCGTTATTGAACAAAGTAATATAAATTGCAACGATAGATGGCGTTACAGTATGGAGTCATTATCCTAATACAAGTTGGGGAATTTCAGTAGTTTGAGATTTTGTACCAGAAAACGATTTACGATATAATGTAATTATTTAAGGTACTTGGTACAAAATATTTCGAAGTGATCTGTATTCTGTCGAAACTGCTAGACGCGGATCGCGATTTCGATCTTCTTGGATCTCATCAGCGCGTCGCAGACAGAACACAGACCAACCTTTACCTGCTGTCTTAACAGCGCGTTTTAGAAAATACCACAAATGGCGTGGTGAGCGCTATCTGTAGTACGATGCTACATTTTAGGATTACGTATGCTCCAGCAAGGTCCATTTAAAAATATGGATATCTACTTGCTGAAACGATTATGGTAACGTGTCTATCACGTTGAGGTGAGCTACGCCGGGATTCGTTTCAGCATGTAGATATCCATATATTTGAATGGACCTTGTTGGAGCATACGTAATCCTAAAATGTAGCATCATACTACAGATGGCGCTCACCACGCCATTTGTGGTATTTTCTAAAACGCGCTGTTAAGACAGCAGGTAAAAGTTGGTCTGTGTTCTGTCGGAGCTGCCTGCGACGCGCTGATGAGATCCAAAAAGATCGAAATCGCGATCCGCATCTGACAGTTTCGACAGAATACAGACCACTTCGAATTATTTTGTTCGATTATGGTAACGTGCCTATCACGTTCAGGTAAGCTACGCCGGGATTCGTTTCAGCAAGTAGATATCCATATTTTTAAATGGACCTTGCTGGAGCATACGTAATCCTAAAATGTAGCATCGTACTACAGATGACGCTCACCACGCCATTTGTGGTATTTTCTATTTGGTACAAGTAATCACTTAGAATCCAATGGGTCGTGACCTTGATTGCTAAATATGAGTCTGTTCATTACTCTTTTGCAGTTGTACATCTGTTTTTGAAATGTCCAATATAAATGAAATAAAGTGCATTTTACGGCCCATGAGATTTTGAAATGTCTCTACATTTTATTTTATTAATATCGCCATTAAAATAATTTCTTTAATAGTGTAACTCCTCAAGTACAGTCGGTGAATAACATTGTAGACAATTTTCGGTATGTTCATGTTTGTAGGAAAAATAGACAGCGTTATCTTAGAAGTCAGCTTTTTGATACGGAGAAAATCTCCCGATTTTTTTGTCCTCTGAGACTTCCCTGCGCGACATTGATATCAGACCGACATAAACTAAACAAAGTTCCCTTGTCTCCCTTGCGAGTTTACATGTTTACTGAATTTCGTTTGATAGAAAGGCGTAATGCGGATTTTCTATCTTGACGTTCCTTTAGAATTTACTACCCTCGTCACGCAAAAATATGAGTTAAAAAATCGACGTGCACAAATGATGCTTTTGACCCTGTTAAAAAAGAAATGACGGGGAACATCTCTCGAAGAAAAAACGCGAACATTTTGAATATAAACAAAACGATTTTTTATCTCAAATGTTGCTCTAGAAATAAAAGAATAAGAAAAACTTGAAAATTCAGTGTCGTAGATTGTAAGGTTTCATGAGAGAGTTAAATTTTAAGGATTGATTCAATTCAATCAAATTGAAAATTTTCGAGGTCAAAAAAGTTTCATAAATATCTAAGCAAAATCTGCAGACTTTTTAAACATGCATCTAAATTTACTTTTATTGTTTTTCATTACAAAATAGATACCTGCAGACTTTAAATCTAGTCATTATTCTTATAATAGGAATATTTATTAGATTTATCTTTTATTTTATTCATTATAATGTTTCATTAAATTTACAGCGTTAACTCTCTCTCTATCTCTCTAATATTTTATTATATATCTTAATAAACATCGAAAGGTGTGAATTATCAATGGTGTGAATAAATTTTTCTGTTTGTTCCAGGAGTTCCTTTTGGCAATCGATGTAACGTCGAGCGGTACTCCAGAGGAAAAGCTGAAATGGGCCTTTCGCATGTACGACGTAGACGGTAACGGCGTTATCGATATACAGGAAATGACTAAAATTGTACAGGTAAGATAGAGAGTCAAAGAACGAAAGATAATTTATCTTGTATGAGGCGAAAAGGAAATTGTCAAGTGCTACGCATTTCTCTAATAAGCGTAGGCTCCGATGTTGCCTTACAAATGTCGTCGTGTAATTTGAATAACGCAAAATATATTTTCGAATTTTGAAAGTTAGAAAACCGAAGTAAATATCTATGACATCTTGTCCTTATTAAGAAAATAAATAAATAAATAATGGACATTTATACTTTATGCATTGGACAAATAAAAGTCTAACTCGTGTATCAAAAGCTCCTTCTTTAAAAAGTAAAACTAAAGTTATATGATTATGTCGTCATTAAGTATAAACTACAATGATCTGTTGTGTCTAGGTGCAAAAATAGGATTCACATAATTTAAATAATTTTTCTAAATTCTACCGTTCAGTATTTAAATACTAGCCAAGTAAAAGTATTCTTCGATTAATACATTGAATATTAGTAAAAAAAAATAGTAAAATAAAAGGAAATATAAGAAAAAATGTATAGCACTGGCCGGGAATAGAGACCGAGTCCACTTGTACACCAGCTGAGCATCCATACCCCTGACCTATTTGCGTTTGTTATAAATTACGCCATAAAACAAGGCTGGCACTGTTGCCACGTATTTCACGATAAATTATGATGAATAGGTATATTGATTAATATCGCGTATGGGTCAATGAATGAATTGACTCATCTCCTAACTCTTCTTTAATTTACTTAAATGCAATTATTTTAAATTAAAATCAGCTTAAAAATACAACTTTCAAAAGAATTTCTAGTAGGAAACCTTAGATTTCACTTATTTAAATAAACATAACTTTATGTTAAATAAGAATAATCCCATCGATGATGATACAGATTTTAAAAAGGGTTAATGTAGTAAATATTCAAACAAAAAGGTTTTTTAGGGTTCTTGAAAGAGTTTTTGTTTTACGTGTAAGGTCGAACTAAGGTACAAAGAAAAACCCGACTACACCCATGCGTAGTGATATCGTTGAATAATTTCAGACATTTTACGCCCTTAAATGAGGAGGTGAATAATAAAGGTTTAGGGATTCGTTCGATCTCGCTATGACGGCCATTTTTTTACAATGTTAAATGGCAGCCCTTATCAAAATTGATAAATAAGTTAGTGTTTCTTTTTCGGTTGTGGTTGCCGACTATTTTCAGTGTTCTTGAATAATGTAGGGAAATGAGAATATGAATAATTTAAGAACTGTATGAAGGGTCCCCGGGAAAATCTTGTCCTTAAATATTTATTTCGCCTGATTTCGTAAGCACTTGAACAGCTTTTGTCGATCGAGTATTTTTCTTCTGCATTAATAATATACGACTCTTTTAATGTGAAGTAAAATTTCATATTATTTAATGACGCTCAGAGATATATATATCTATAAGTATATTGAACAGGGTGGACGATTTTGTTTAAACAATTCGCAGCTTCTTGAGGAAAACGTTTTAAAAAAAATCTTTATTTCTTGTTACTTTCTATCCATGACCGAAGTACAATTGGACTTACTGACTCCAAGAAGTTACTGTAGGTACTTGTATGGTTAAAGATTAAGGATGTTTGGGAGATATGTCAAAATGCTACGGGACAAATAAAAATTTGGAAGAACGTTCCTCATTCAATTCTAAAACTCCTGTAAAAATTACAAATCGATTCACTAAACCGTTAAAAAGTTATTGAAATTTTAAAAAATTGTAATTTTACACGTCATTTTATGGAGATTCGTTAACCGAACAGATTAAATTTATTTTTATTAACAGAAAAAAAGCTACCAGAAATTTCAAACTTTTATAATAAGTAACTTGAACTCTGGAGAATCACTTTAGCGTAAGGTTATTCAAATTCACTAAATGGTTATCGAGGAAAAAATGAAAAATTATCTGAAAATCTCGTTTTTACTTGATAATATAATGATAATATTTATAATTGTCTGAAATAAATGCAATTTTAAAGTTTTAATTATTATTTAAACATATTAAAAAGTTTTACGCTCATTATTAATAGAGATTGAAACTAAATATTTTTTCGTTTCGAAGTTGAAATCAAGGCATATTCACTGCCAAAAGTCAGTTAAAAATTTTCCATATTATTCGTTATTTCTTATTTTATTCAAAGTTTTTGATCAAATTCCAAATTTTCTCTTAAACCGTATACTTTTTTTTAGTATCATAGTATTTATTTACCTCATGATATGCTGCAAAACCTAATTAATCACAGCACAAAGATCAGTAATTTTTAATCAGAAATTCCAAATGCCCAACAACATCTTGGAATTTGAAATTAAACCATTTAATTAGTTTCATTCTTTTATTAAACGTTTCAATTGCCAAAATCATATTGTTTGCTTCAGCTTCAAAATTAAATCCGTATTTACAAAAATAAATTGAAATCACTGTTGTGCTCTATGGTGATGGCATCTCTTTTAAGTACAAATAAATGGTTCCGTTAGTTTTACTTCTTCTCAAGTCGATTAAAGCTTTTGCGTTTTACTTACGTAATAACAGCAGTCAAATCGAGGTCAAGCTGCCGCTAATATGTAAGTGTGTTTATTACCCCTTCGTCATAATTATTAGGTAACTGTCACTTCTTTGAACGTTAAAAGTTTACGAGGATGATATATTGTTAAATATGCTGGCTCACTTTAGCTTTATTGGGTCAGCGGTTTTTTACCTTCCTCCGCAGGGTAGCCGCTAATGTTGCAAACTTTTAACAGTTTTTACTGTCGAAACTTCGTGCTGGTGTATGCACATTAATTCACCACGTCCCAATAGCTCCATCACGAGGTACGTTATGAAGTTGCCAAATTGTCCACCACTTCGATAACTTCACAAAATGTTTTTGCTTCCTCTCTACTGTCGTGCCCTTTGAGTTATTAGTTAACGTACTGAAACTGTAAATTTTGGGATAATAAATCAGGGGAATTGCTAAAATACGCGAATTCGACTATTCGTGTCTGTTAATATGTTCATTAAATATCAGTGGCGTTTTAAAGTATTACTTGGTGCTAAGTATTTCGTGTAATAGGGAGTATTCTAGAAATGCGTCGCATAGCGATTTTGCCGAGTACCCGCCATTGGCTGTGACGGGTAACCTACCAGTTGATGGTTCATGGTTCGTTCTTGGTGTATTTCCATTATATACGTATATACATATCCTCACGAACGTCTCAAACCACATTCCGTTCGAAAGTCCTTTGAATGCTAAATCAATAAATTTTTAGTTCTTGGCTGGCGGATTTTCATCGAAGGGGTTGAGTTGAAACTATTAAAACAAGTTTATGATTTTTAAAAGTACTAAAAGCCTGTAAGGTCACAAAATGATACTAATAAGTCAAGCAAAATCTGATATACGATAGGAATTATAATAGTTGGTCATACTGGATAATAACTTTTGAAAAAAGCATTTTGTATTTTATTTAAAATAGTTTTCCAAACGTATTTTCTATTTGTAAAATGCAAAATACATTTTTGCTGTTAAAAGTTTTGTTAATATCACCGATCAAACATTGGATGAAATGATGAATGAAAGTTGGTCACATTGGCCTTTGAAGGTAATAGAAGATTAAAAAGGAGCCAAAAAAACATTCCATGAATGTCTTTTATTTCTTTAACTGAAGAGGACCTAAAAAAATCTATGCCCCTTGGAAAAGGATTATCTAAAATATTGGATCGATATTGTTTTCCGGGTTCAACGTCATGGTCCAGGGAATTTGGAAGTTCGAAACTGATATCATCATCTGTTAAATCACGACATATCGTACCTTCAGCAAGGAACTACGAAATTTTATGAATTATGACAAAAAACCCCGGAAAACTATATCGAATTGATATACACCAACTGTAAAAACAATAAAACTAAAACTACAAGATATTGTGGTGTGCTAATAAATGCGTATAATCCAAAATTCTTAGAAAACGATTAGAAAAACTTCACTTATTAGATGAAACCAAAGCTAAGGAAATTATGGATTCAATTTCTCCATGAAACGGGTGACAAAGGCAGATAAAGGAGTATATATAAGACTTATTTGTTGCTGAACTGAACAAACCATAACATAAAGATAGAAAAACAATATCTCAGTAACTTCAAACAGAAAAATATGAATCATACTCAATTTTCGCAGCTGACGATATAGTGCAAACACCACTATTAGTCTAGAAAAGCTCCAATATTTAAAAAATAGGCAAATGCGTGTACGGTTTTCTTAAAAAATATTTTAAACTGAAGTAAATGTAGAAAATTAAATAGGTACTACAAAAAAAATATTTATTAAAAGGGAAATCTGTTTTATATTTTAGGTTTGAAATAACAAATCAAAGAAGTATTTGCATTTTGTATTTAAGTTCTTTTACAAAACCAATTTGCACATATCTAATTAGGGTCCATTGAAGAATACCATTAGTACTCCATAATTCTGGTTTTGCGTAAGTGGTAACTTTTTCTGATACTCGGTGACATCTACTTGAAGTCTAATAAGTTTCTGTTCTTCTTTGTATCTTCTCTGATATTCGCCGATTCAGATTCAAAATACCAATGGTACCTTTTTTGACATCCATGGTACTTAAACATTTTTGGGATGTAGTCAGCGCGAATTTCATTTCTTGTTACATACCTATCGTCCTTTCTGCTATCCTCTCAGTATGTTTAGTTATGAATAAAAGAAAAAGAACAATGAGTTTCAAAAATCCTAACCGTAAATATACTGACTGCATTCTTATCAATGTGGAATAAGTGTGATAATTAATACAATATTGTAATTTATTCAAAATAGCATTATAATTGAACAAGCGTGGCGCTACCGTCTGGATTTTCCGTTCGTGGAAATGTCCTCAAATCACGAGAACTGAGCAATCGATTTATTTTTTCAACATGGCATTTCGTTACTATAATGTAACAATTATTCAAATAAGCGGAATTGTTATCTGGCGAATGCGAAAATTTGTCGCGTGTTTAACATGGATTAGACCGTTTGCA